TTTCAATGATAACAAACAGCCCACTGCAGCACATGTGCCACAGATTCACCACCGGTCCATGAACTCACATAATTAGCTAAGCGGCGGATCCCACCGGGAAAGCGCTGAGGGTCTGCCTGAAGTCTGTCTTCTGAATCTCTTTGGGGAGCCATCCAACAGTCATCAATGCACAGGTACTCATAACCTACATCTTTCCAGCCATCTGAGACCATGAGGTCTGCCATCTGCATGAAGAGCTGCTCACTGAAACAGAAATTCCCAGAATCATTACAACTCATTAGATGAAGGCTTAGGTATTCCTATCAGGCACCTTCAGGTTTCGTGGTCTTGAAAATCCAGTCATACTGTGTTAGTGATCACAAGCACCACAAGAAAACGAAATGCTCTCTTTCCAATTTTTCTTATCTTCTTGCCCTTACCCCTTAATACTTCCACTCTAAGAATTTCAAAACAGATACTAGCTCAGCAGTGAAGAATTTGCCCAGTATGGGCAAGGCCTTGGGTTCCATCCCCAGCACTACAAAAGAAAGGAGAGAAAAAAAAACTCCAAACAATTCAAGTGGGAATGACAGATACATGAGGAAACTGAAACAGTCATTAGAACAAGGACAGTTCAGTAAAGAAAGAAGGAATAAAGTTAATGAAATAAACAGCTTCCTTAGATATCAACACTAACCTATTTAGAGAAGAAAATCCACTCACAGCTAAATCTTGGAAGCAGCCTGGATGCCCATCAACGACTGAATGGATAAAGAAAATGTGGTTTTTATATGCAATGGAGTACTATGCTGCCATAAAGAAAGGTTAACTTGACATATTTTTTAGGTAAATGGATCACCCTGAAAACATAATTTTAAGTGAAATAAATCAGACATATGTGTTTAAATATCTTATTGTTTCTCTTGTGTGAGAAACCCAAAGGATAAATAAGAACCAAAATGGATGACAGATACAGGGAAATAGTAAGAAAATGTTCAAATGGGAAGGTGAACAAGGGAAGGTGGAGGGGGAAAGGAAGGGAGGGAATAGGGATTAAGGAAATAAAGAATGGAAGGAAAACAATGTTTTAGAAAGGGAGAGAGGAAGGATTGAAGGGAAAGGAGGGGAATGGGAAAAAGTGATATATCATGCACAGGTACAAATTCCGTACGATGAATGTGATCATTATGTATGTCAAAGTACACCAGCAAAATTAACTTTAAAAATCTCAGTGGGTGTGGTGGCACACACCTGTAATCCCAGCACTTGGGAGGCTGAGGCGGGAGGATTGTCACACATTCGAGACCAGCCTGAGCTACAAAGTGAGCTCAAGGCCAGTCTGAACATAGCAAGACCTTGCCTCAAAAACACAAATAAAGAAATAAATAAAAAATAAAAATCTCATTCATAAGAGCAACTAAAAAAATAGAAAACCTTCAAATATCTATAAATAAACTTAAGATACATGCAGAACCCATATGTTAAAACTATGATACCCCTAAGTGGAGAAAAATCATTTTGTTCTTGGCTAAGAAAACACAGGGCTGAGGCTATTGCTTTCACTAGAGCACTTGCCTAGCCTTCATGAGGCCATGGGTTCAATCAGCAGTACCACAAAAAAGAAAAGAAATGACTATGCCAAGCATGGTGGTACAGGCCTCTAATCCCAGCACTGGGAAAGCTAAGGCAGAAAGATTACCCTGTTTTGAGGCCAGCGTGGGCCACACAGTGAGTTCAAGGCCAGCCTGAACTACAGAGCCAGATCCAGTCTTAGAAAGAAGCAAAAAAAGGGGGAAACTCAATATTTTAGGGCTGGGGATGTAGTACAGTGGTAGAGATGTTGCCTAGCATGCATAAAGCCCTGTGTTCAACCTTCAGCACCACACACACACATACGCACACAAAATAAAAAAGCTAACTCCTCCAATAATCCTTTATGAAACCCTGTATATTCATTAAATATTATCTTTAATAAAATCCTGAACAAACCCCGAGTTTTTAAGGAACTTGATGAAAAGACTAAGTTCACCTATAACATTAAATGTGTATGTTCTATAAAAGATAAAGGAAGCTAGTGTAGCTTAGCATTAGAATACAAAGATATATGGAATTCAATAGAAAGTTCTGAAAGAAATCCAGCCATCTGATAGCCATGGGATTTTGTCTCCTGCAAAGAATGCTAAACTGAGCTACCCATTTTTTTAAATTGTAAAAACCCAAGTTTACCTTCCCTCTGAAGAATGTTGGTTCTGTCTAACTAAACCTGAATTCCAGACTTGTAGATCTATTCTGCACCAAGATAAAACTTTTTTTAAGGCAGTGTTTTGCTGTGATGCCCAGGCTAGCGTGGAACTTGCGATCCTCCTGCCTTGGCTTCCAGAATAGCTGGGATTACAGGTGTATACCACCATGCTCAGCACTTGTCTTTCCTTTTAACCTCGCTATGATTTCTTTGTTTACAGACACCAATGCCAAAAATCATAAATGAAAGAATTGATGTTAATTACATAAGTATCAAAACCAATATATAGCAAGAACTACCCGTATTGGCAACATATTCAAAACACAAAAACAAAACAACCCCCAGAGATTCCACTTGAATAGGAGGCTGATGCAAAGGGGTAATCCATAAAAGAAACAACTATGCAAAGAGCCAATTTAACACCTTGGCAGTATGTAATCAAAGAATGTAAAAATTTCGATCTGGGGTGTAGTTCAGATGTAGAGAATTTGCCCAGCCTCTACGAGGCCCTGTGTTGATCCTTGGCACCAAATCAAACCAAACACAGAAACAAAAAAACCCAGCACAAGTAATAAAACTTACAAGACTGCAGTGTTGGCAAAGTTGTGGGGAAATGGTCTGGTAATCTTACAAATTGTTGGGAACGTATATTTGCAAAATCTTTGGGAAGCATAGTTTGAGATGTACCAAATGAGCACACTTTAATTAGTGTTCTAAGGAAAGAATCAGGTAAGAAGCAGATGATGTACAAAAACTGAGACCCCCAGGGGCTGGGGATTTAGCTCAGCGGCAAAGTGCCTGCCTGGCAAGCACAAGGTTGTGAGTTCGATTCCTGGTACCAGAAGAAAAACAAAACGAAACAAAAAACTGAGACCCCAAGTAGCTATCAAAAGGTGAGTGCTTAAACAAATTTTGATATATACACATATCAGGGTGCCAGAGTCTCCTGGTTAATGACTCATGACATAAACATACTATTTTTATGCAAAATAGTGAAGAAAAATCTTTCATTTAATAGAAAAGAACTGCAAGGTCATATATGCACATTTTAATCATGATTATTTCTAGGTGGTGAAATGGGAGAATCTTAATTTTCATTATTTTCTTTTTCACTATCTACATTTTTTTAATCACTGTGTATTAGTTTTTATATTCACTTAAAAAGACATAAAGAAATCCACAATGAACAACTGTCACACACTGTACCCCAGGGTCATAACAGACTTAGTCTGAAACTTGGCTAATTCTTTTGTGATGTGTGACCAACGTTCTGACGTTATTTGTGAAGACATATATACAGGGGCAATTTATGAACAAAGACACGGTACTGGGACTGCTACCTTTAGCAGGAATTCTGCGTGGTGGGCTGCCTTATGTTTTCAACAATATCTACCAGTGATTCTTAACCTTTTCTAGATCGCAGATTTCTTTGAGAATCTGAAGAAAGGTAAAGATCCCCTCTCCAGAAAATACATATACTGCACTCACATTTGCAGAACACTCATTTGCCCGTGGACGCCAGGAAAATAAGAACACGCATTTCATTTTACTGAGGAGTCCGACACTGTGCTTTGTAGTTTAAATGGGTTTATCTCATTCAAAACTCACCTGTGTGAGATCGGAACTATTTTATAACATTTTCCCAGTCAGCTCCCTGATGTGAAAAAGATGTTATTTACATCTCAATTTACAGACAAGGATTGCAAGGATTAGATAGGTTCACTACCTGTGTAATCCAGTCACAACTCTCACATTTTGACGTGTTAGAGTTCCTCCAGGTCAACCTTGCAGTGGGTTGCCACATTCAGCAGCAGGTGCAGGGTGGGGGAATTGAGGGAAATATCAAAGACCTTGAGGTGTCTCTAAACTCGCTCCGCTTACAGCCAAGGAACTTGTGACCCAAAAAGGAGAACTGACATGAATCTTAGTTCTCTATCCTTCCCACCCACTCTAGTTCTGCTTATGGCTAGCACAAGCCTAGGGCCCAGCAAAGGCACAGCAAGAGCTCACAAGAGAGGTGGGAATGGAACCAGAAGGTAAATGAAGGAAGTCTCTCTAACCGGGCTATCCAGCAGAGAGTGAGAGGAAGTGAAGCAAGTACAGCTGACTCGACACCTGCTCTAGGAAGGGTCACACGGAGAAAGTTTACGGCTAGTCCCATTTGAGAGGGGGTATAAAAAAAGCAGCAATAGTTGGGGAGCTCACCCTCGGGCTTAAACGTTCCAGCTGAGACCCTCCACTTCCTTAAACACACCCAAACAGACACAGACGGAAAAGCCAAAGGCAGGGGCCATCCGATATCTTGATACCTGATGCAGGAATCCGGCTCTTCCTGGCAGTTAAGGTTGCACATGAAACGTTCCCAATGCAGCCAGCCCATGGTAGGCGTCCTCGCCAAGCCATTATTCAGTGCCCTGGCCCCAAGGACTCCACAGAGAGCTAAGGCCAGGAAGCGCAGCATGAGCGCACAGCCCGGCCACTGATCTCTGCTCCTAAGCTTCATTACCCGGGTGATTATACAAAGGAGATTTCTGCGGGTAACCTGGGCTTTTCAGTTTAACCTTAGGGACCAATCACCGATGAGTTATTAAATGGTGACGTTGTTTCTCGGTTAAATGGACGGTTATCTCCAGAGGGCTACCAATGATCAATCACGTAAGACGCATCACCAACCAATCATACTCTCCGTTTCTTGATACCGGCCCGCCCTACTTTGAGACCAGAAGGAAATGCAGCACCTTAGAGTTCCCGAGTTTAAGCCGCGAGTTACTCACGTGACCGAGATCTCACATGACGTAGGCGGTCACGTGACCAACCGCTTACGTGAGCAGAAGTAGTTCTGGTCGTCGCCTACCGTCTCGCTATAGCCGTCTGAGGGAAGAAGGAGGAAAATTACCCGATATCTTTAGAGGTTGGTGTGTGGGTGGGAACTGGGAACCCGGGGTTGGTGATAATGAAGACCCATGTGGGGTCCTCGGGCTGCCTCCGCCTTTTTCGTTTACTGTTTCCCCCTCCCCCCGCTTCCGTCCCCCTCCCCCTCCTCTTCGTCTCCGTGCCGCGAAGCCGCCTTTGCTTAGCCTGGTGGGGAAATGGTGGACGTTCGTGACTGTGTGTGAGTGCATGAGTGTGTGTGTGTGTGTGCGCGTGCGCGCGCGCGCGTGTATGTGTATCTGCCTGTCTGAGCCAGTCTCAGGGACCCCAGAGTGGACCATACGGTGAAAAATAAGTGAAAAGAATTAAGAAAAACATTGGGACCCGTGGTCTGAGTGCAGGTCCAGCCTTTCGGGCGCGCAGTCTGTAGTGCCTGATTGTGTGACTGTCGGAAAAGGCCCCAAGTGAATTATCAGTAGAGTCGCATCTCGGGAAACGCTGCGTGACTTCCAGAGGCCCAATAAATGTTTTTACTTGAGAATTTGATTAACGTTTGTTTTTCTGCTTACAACGGTAATCAACATGTTGAATCTGATCATTTGAAAAATTACAGTATACTTTATAAATTTTGAAGACAAACGTAATTTATCACTACTCAACTTTTTGTTGTTAGTTTTAAAAATATTTGTGTTATAATACACATAAATACACAGATTCTTAATTCTCATGGGGAATCGTGGTTCCTACTTAAGGCTACAGAGTTTTTGTTGTTCTTCTCAGGCGATGGAAGGCAGCACAACCTCTTGACCACTATATAGGGACTATTAAGGCTTAGAATGATGCAGGATTCATCATCCCAGGGATGATCTGTCACTGAGACCTAAGGACAGTTTGTAGGAAAACTGTTAGCACAGCGGAAGCACGCACCCATCAATTAGTAAATGTTTCAATTTAGTCCTCAGTGTGATTTTATAGCAGCTATTCACTATTTACTTTCTAAGAACCCCAGTGTTCTCGGACTGTGTCAGATAAGCCACCCACATAGAAAATTAGAACATTTTTAAAAAATTTAATAGACTAAATCCCAGAAAAGCAAATACTTTAATTTGTTGCTTTTTTTGTTGAAATAAAAATAATTATTCTTTCTGTGGAAAATTAAGATTGCACAAATAATTGAAAAAATAAAATGTAAAAAGCCATAAACCTACTACTCAGAATTACCACTTCTAACATGTGAGGTACTCTCCAAGTATATGGTTTTCTAACATTGTTATTTATATTCCAATACAGTCAGTTTAAAGACTTAATTGTACAGAAGTATGTTGGTTAAAAAGTGAAAGTCTCGCTTCATTCTCCCTAGCTGCCAGTTCTTTTTTCAAAAACAAATTTGTATTACATACTTCTAGATTTTATTTTACACATTTGCCAACATGCTTATATTTTTATACAAATAAGATCACAGTATAAATAAAATTCTTTCATTTAATGTGTTTTGGAAATTTATCTAGGTCAGAGCAGATAGAGCTCTGTTTTTTAGATGGCTGCACAGCATTCCATTTTAAGGATAAGTTATAATTTATTCAGCCATCCCCCTGGTGATAGCTAGCTAGGTTTGTAATTTTTTGCCATTACAGAGCTATAGTAAACGTTTGTAAGTATTTCTGTTGACCAGATTCCTAGAAAGAATTCTAGCAAGGTCAAAGGGTATATAGACATTTATTTTTTACATAGTTGTGATTATATTATAAAGTAGCTGTAATCTGGGATCACTTGTAAGTCATTTCTCATGTTAAACATTTTATAACTTTATTACATGTGCAACACTACATTTTTCTTAATAAAGTAACTTTCAAAGAAAATATAGCTTCATAATCTTCATCTGAATTTAAAAATAATTTTTAAGATACATAATGTGAAGTGAGTTTACCGTCAGTGTGATTAATACCATATTGTTTTTCAGAATACTTTATCAGTTTTCACTCTTCTAGTATTGTATTAGTTTGTGAACCCTGAGTAACACTGACTTATTGTCACTGTTTAATTTCCATTATCTTGATGGGTAAAATAGTAGGTGATTAATTTGGGTTTTAAATTACATTTCCAATAATTGATGAAGTTTGAATGTTTCCCGGGCTCCTTTCCTGTATCTTCTTATATTTAATCTGTTACCCAGTCTACTGATTTTACTTTTTTCATAGAGATCACATATTTCTTCACCTTTTTACTGTTGTTTTCTTAAAGAACCCCTTAACATATGTCTAAGAGGCCCTTCTAACTATTGTTCGCTGCACCTAGAACCCCTTTGAGTGTCACACTGTTGCCTGGGTGATGTGACTGAGAGGGTTATGGGTTATGATGATATCACTTTGGATCTGATCTCTTACCTCGTCAGCCTTACTTCTTGTTTGCCCCTTTCTATTTTGTGTTCTATCAAAATTTTTAAATTTTGTTTATGGATCTCTGAAGGAGTTAATCTGTTTTATTTAACCATCCTGCCTCCTACTGATAGAACTGACCAACTAGTTCCTCCTTTATACTATCCTTACCCACTGCAGAGTTCGGTCATAGTAGGTATAATGTCCATGTGCATTTGTATCTTTAGTGAAGTCACACAGTGCTCTGTAGGACCATAAGCCTTTTCTTGGTTTATTGATGCTTGTGTGCTAGAGGTGAGCACTGGAGCTGGCACCTAAAAATGTATGAATGTGGAAGTTCCCAGTAATGCCTTTGTTCCATTTATGTCTTAGGCCTTAATAGTTCCCTGATTTTATTGACTTGTAAATATTTTATATGATGCTAATGTATCTTATCATGTGTTTTACTTCTGTTTAATGCTTTAATAAAGTTTTTCATTTTATTTAATCAGATATAGCTATATTTTGTTTGCTGATATCTTTCACTAGGTTTGTTGCTGTTAGCTTTTTAGGACTTTTTGTTTACTGTCTATGATGTTTACATATGGTCAGAGCAGAAAACTTAGAACATATAGAAATGCTTAAGGGGAAAAAGCATCCCTTGAAATGAAAAAGTTCTCATATTCCTTCCACTATTAATAACCACCATTAGTGATACCTGACACATAATAGGCATTGAAAATAATGATTGAATGAATGAGTTAAAGATTTGGTATAGTGGTGTATTTTTAAAAAGCTACTAGTGTAATTGAGCTTTATATTGTTTGCTTTTTTGTCTTACTTTATTCTGAACATTTTCCCATGACAATAGTCTCCTAATTATCTTTTCAGCCACATCAAAATTGCATTGAGCCAAGCTTGCCATCAAGAGCCCAACAGTCACCATGATGCTGAGCACAGAAGGCAGGGAGGGGTTCGTGGTGAAGGTCAGGGGCCTACCCTGGTCCTGCTCAGCTGATGAAGTGATGCGCTTCTTCTCTGATTGCAAAATCCAGAATGGCACATCAGGTATTCGTTTCATCTACACCAGAGAAGGCAGACCAAGTGGCGAAGCATTTGTTGAACTTGAGTCGGAAGATGAAGTGAAATTGGCTTTGAAGAAGGACAGAGAAACCATGGGTCACAGATATGTTGAAGTATTCAAGTCCAACAGTGTTGAAATGGATTGGGTGCTGAAGCATACAGGTCCAAACAGTCCTGACACTGCCAATGATGGTTTCGTCCGGCTTAGAGGACTCCCATTTGGCTGTAGCAAGGAAGAGATTGTTCAATTCTTTTCAGGGTTGGAAATTGTGCCAAATGGGATGACACTGCCAGTGGACTTTCAGGGGCGGAGCACAGGGGAGGCCTTTGTGCAGTTTGCTTCACAGGAGATAGCTGAAAAGGCCTTAAAGAAACACAAGGAAAGAATAGGGCACAGGTACATTGAAATATTCAAGAGCAGCAGAGCGGAAGTCCGAACCCATTATGATCCCCCTCGAAAGCTCATGGCTATGCAGCGTCCAGGTCCTTACGATAGGCCCGGGGCTGGCCGAGGATATAATAGCATTGGCAGAGGAACTGGGTTTGAAAGGATGAGGCGGGGTGCCTACGGTGGGGGGTATGGAGGCTACGATGACTATGGTGGCTATAATGATGGGTATGGTTTTGGGTCTGATAGGTTTGGAAGAGACCTCAATTACTGTTTCTCAGGAATGTCTGATCATAGATATGGAGATGGTGGGTCTAGTTTCCAGAGCACCACGGGGCACTGTGTACACATGAGGGGGTTACCTTACAGAGCCACTGAGAATGATATTTATAATTTTTTCTCTCCTCTTAACCCCATGAGAGTACACATCGAAATTGGACCCGATGGCAGGGTTACTGGTGAGGCAGATGTTGAATTTGCTACACATGAAGATGCGGTGGCAGCTATGGCAAAAGATAAAGCTAATATGCAACACAGATATGTAGAGCTCTTCTTGAATTCTACTGCAGGGACAAGTGGAGGGGCTTACGATCACAGCTATGTAGAACTCTTTTTGAATTCTACAGCAGGGGCAAGTGGTGGTGCGTATGGTAGCCAAATGATGGGAGGGATGGGCTTATCTAACCAGTCTAGTTACGGGGGTCCTGCCAGCCAGCAGCTGAGCAGTGGTTATGGAGGTGGTTATGGTGGTCAGAGCAGTATGAGTGGGTATGACCAAGTTCTGCAGGAAAACTCCAGTGACTATCAGTCAAACCTTGCTTAAGATACAGAAGGAGCACTAAACAGCTACTATAGAAGTAAAAGCTGTGCGTTGTGGGAGTTGGATAGAACGGGAGGGATGCCTAGTATATCTAGTATGATTGGTAAATGGAAAATATAGTGGATTCTGATTGCTCTTGGTCAGCTAGCTTGCCCGCCCTCCCTTTCTTTCTCTCCCCCTTTTTTCTTTCTTTCTTTCTTTCTTTCTTTCTTTCTTTCTTTCTTTCTTTCTTTCTTTCTTTCTTTCTTTCTTTCTTTCTTTTTCTTTCTCCTTTCCTTTTTTAAGAAAATAAAAGTTAAGTTTATCAGTTTTGCATTACAGGCTTGTGATTCATGCTTACTGTAAAGTGGAAATCAAGATTGTTTTAAACCTTATATAATATTGAACACTGAAATATCATCTAGGATGTAATAACAAATTTCAGTATTGACCATAACGTAAAACAACTTTCAGCTCTCCTCAAGTTAGTTATGTTGTAGGAGTGTACCTAAGCAGTAAGCATATTTAGGTTAAAGCAGTTTCACTTATGTTATATGTTGCTCTTATACCACAGTACATTGAAAACTTCAGATGCATGTTGAGAAACATGCTGTTCTGTAAAACTCAAATATAGGAGCTGTGTCTATGATTCAAAGTGAAAACATTTGGCATGTTTGTTAATTCTAGCTTTTTGGTTTAATATCCTGTAAGGCACGTGAGTGTACACTTTTACTTTTTTTTTTTTTTTTTTTAAGATCTGGGACAATTTCAAGATGTAATACTTTAGGAGTTTGGTCATGTCAGTTGTATGGAATTCTGAGGCTTTGATTTAAATCTTTCCTTGTATTGTGATTTCCATTTAGATGTATTGTACTAAGTGAAACTTGTTAAATAAATCTTCCTTTTAAAAACTGGAAAAATAGTCTTATATAGCCTTGATTTTTAATGATACTGCATTACATGTACACATTTTAATTGACTTCCTTTGAAGTTTAAATTCTTAATTTTTAAACTAAATGTTACATTAGCATCTTCATATGTGCATCATTTTATATATCATTATTTCTAAGATAATCTCTATAATTGAAATTGCTCAGTCAAATGTCTTTTTTTTTTTTTTTTTTCTTTTTCTTCCAGTACCAGGAATTGAACTCACGACCTCGCGCTTGCCAGGCAGGCACTGTGCCGCTGAGCTAAATCCCCAGCCCCTGCTCACTCAAATGTATACACATTTTTAAAGCTTTTGATTTTTCTTATCTTACCAGAAAGGTGATGGTACTTGGTCTACCCCAGAAAGTGCATGCTTTTTATTTTTCTCCTGTACCATCTTTAATTTTGTTTTGTTTTTTCTCTTTTTTGAGACAGGGTCTAACTGTGCAGTTGAGGCTAGCCTTGAACTCACTTTGTAGCCCAGGCAGGCCTTGAACTTGCAGTGATCCTCCTGCCTCAGCCTCCCAAGTGCTGGGATTACAGGCATGAGCCACCATGCCTGGCCCTTGTACCATCTTTAATGATACTTTTCCTTCTTCCCTCCCTCCCTGCTTCCCTGCTTCTGTTCCCTCCCCTCCCCTTCCCCTTTCCCCTTTCCCTATTCCCCCTCCTCCCCTCCCTCTCCCTCCCTTTTCCTTTCCCTTCTGCTACTGGGGCTCCCCGGGCCTTCACACTGAGCTACATCCCCAGCCCTTTCTGAATTTTATATTTGGAGACCTGGTCTTGCTAAGTCCCTAAGTTGCTTAGGCTGAACTTGAACTTGGGGTTTTCCTGCCTCAGCCTCCCAGAGTGCTGGAATTACAGGCGTGCACAAATTACCCCTGTTTTACATTATTCTTAATGTTTGCAAGTTTGATAGTTGAGAAATGATACATTGTTGCTATTTTGACTTGTACTAATATTAAGGATGAACATTTTCTTCTTTGTTTCTAAACATGTATCTCCACAGGACTTGGAGACTTCAAACTTTATCAAAACAATATTCTCTAAAATCTAAAAAAGTAAAAGGCATATAATTCTTTTCATTTAACCACAAGTGAGAAAATTTGGTATACATTTGTTAAAAAAAAGTAGGGCCAGGTAAAGTGGTACACACCTACAATCCCAGCTCTTGGGAGCTGAGGCAGGAGGATCACTGTGAGTTGGAGACCAGATTGGGTTACGTAGTGAGTTCATGGCAAACCTAGAATATGAGACCCACTCTAAAAAAGGAAGAAGTAAGCCTATACAGCATGAATTCTGCAATGTCGAACTCATTAATAGAGCCATTGTGGTCTACACTGGCTTCAAACTCAAGATTCTCTTGCCTCAGCCTCCTAAGCACTGGCATTTTAGTGTGTGCTGCTGTGCCCAGCTACCAGGGCATTGAAAGCTTGTTTTGAACTAGTGGTTTTAAACCTTATCTTGCATCGGTATCATTTGCAGGGCCTATTAAAACATTGCTGGGCCTCCTGCCTGGAAGTTTCTGATTCAGTAGCTCTGAGTACTGCCTCAGAATGTACTGATATTGCTGGTCCTGAGGCAATGTTTTGAGATTCATCACAGTTCAACTGCTAGAGGTCTAATATTAAAAAAGCAACTTCAAGAAGCACTTTCCTGAATCCTTAGTGTCCTCCTTTTGATTCCTTAACAAATAGTTTAAATTTTCTTTTAAGGTACAAGACACATCTGGTTATTTACAATACCTTGTACCTACGGCACCTTCATCTGGGGCTATCTTACATTTTTTTTTTTCTGGTACCTAGAATTGAACTCATGACCTTGCGCTTGCCAGGCAGGCGCTGTGCCTCTGAGCTAAATCCCCAGCCCCCTATCTTACATTGCTGACTGAGTTACCCTGGCTGTCAATTTTACCTCACAGTGACCTTCAGTCTTCAATTTCCCCCATCAGTCCCAGCTGCACATGAACTTTCATAGATCTTTGCACTGCCTTGGAACTGGATTGTTTCCTGCACTGTTTAGACCTGGGGACCCAAAGAAATACCCTGAGATAGGAGGCAAATACTAAATTGATATTACCTGACCACATTTTATTCAGGAACACTTTTCATTGAGCACTGTCTAGAAAAATTTTAAACTTAAGATGTAGTGGGTTTTGAGTCTCTGATGATTTATAATTTCTATCACAATGGCTAGGAAACATACTTTGGCTTTGTGTATGTGTGTGTCTATCCACATGCATGCCCACTCTACAAATGTTTAATCAAGTGTTTTATTATTGATACCAAATTTTGCAGTTCTGTTGGAATAAATTTCAGTTTGACTCCTAAGTCATGGGCTGGTCTTACTCAGCTTTCTTAAGCCCAATAAGCCTTTCTCAAGAGAGTAAGCTAGTAGGTGTTTCTAGTTAAGTATTTGCTTTTCATGCTTCTCAGTGAGTTTTCCAGAAGTTTCTCTTAACTATGAGTAACGATTCTCCATTTAGCCACTAGATGTCTCCGAATGCAGGGAGAGGATAGGCCAAATCGTGAGATCCTGGCGTTTGCTTGTTTGCTAGATAAGGAAAGAGCTGTGGAAGCAAAAGAGGTGAGGTGCCCAAAGAGACATTACTATCTGACAGGGCAGCTGTGCAGACCCCTGAGCGTGCGTACAGGCATACCCTCCTGCCGCAAATGATCCCAAACTCAAATCTAACACTACCCAGAAAAGTATTCTAGGATGTAAAGTGGGCATCCCACTCAGACTCCCAGCCACTGAGTCAGGGGATTCATTGTCAAGTGTATGTAATCTTGGTAGGATCAGGCAAAAGTTAGTAGCCACAGTAATTGTGGCTTACGGGCATCTCCACGGATGGTGTGTGCCTGTGTTTCTCACAGTGGGGTTTGTGTATCACCACCTGGGGCCTCATTTGGAATGTAAATTCTGAGGACACACCCCCCAGATGGACTGAATCAGACCCTCTGGAGGTGGAGCCCAGTAAAAAGGTTTCAACAAGTCTTCAGGATAGTTCTGCTGCAGGGACCCATTGGCTTATGCATAGATCCTATTAGTCACCCATTCATTTATTCCTGCATTCATTTATCAATCCTAAAGTAGGTAACCAAGGCAGAGACAACCCTATGCATAAGTACATCTCTCCCTCATCCCCCAGCCAATTGATAAGGAATTCCTTTACAGATCAAATAACTTTTCCATAAGTCAGGAAGAATTCCTAGTGCTTCGGTAGTAAAAAAGATTTCTCCAAGATGGGTCTCTAGTACTGTTATAAAACAGCTGCCAACGGAATGAAATTCCACTTGCTGAGCCTGATTCAGGTGGAGAGTGTCGCACGATCCTCTTTACAAGCTGCTCCCATACTGACTGCCACTCGGGCACATCTGGTCACCCAGTTAGAGGGGTGCAAAATCCCACTGCGGAGGTGAGGAGTTAGGTGTTAACCAGAGCCTGTGTATGGATACTTCTTCCAGCAATGGTCAGTGAAAGAGCCTGGATAGGGACGCTACCAGTTTGAATGAGCCCATCCACCCTCTCAGAGAAACATAGGTTCCACAGAGGACATGTAGGCAGGTTACAGAGGACATAGAGGTCACATCAGCCTGCTGCTTCTCCAATCCACCTCCGCAAAACCCCACCAAGAAAAAATATTTAAAAAACACCTCTTAGTCTGTAAGAGACACTTTCTCTGTTCTGCTTGCACAGAGAGGTTTAGCAATAGACCTGCTTGGACTGCTGAACGCGAGTTCCCTTCCCTCTGTTCTCATCAGTCAGCACAGTCAAATGCACAGCACACACATGGCTTCAGTTCTTTGATCAGTTAGGCTTGTGAAAGAAAAGCTGTGTATGGAGAGACCTCATTTGAGAACCACAATGACTTGGTTCTGATCTGTTCTCATGCTCTGACCATCTCATTAGGACATCTTGGACACTGCGGGGGCCCTTTTCCATGGTCCTTTTATCCCCTTCCCTTTATCTCTTCCTGTTTTCCTTCATTTGCACATGGCCTGTTTTTTTTCTTTCCTACAAAAGATAACTTATTTCATTGCCATCCTCACTTTAGAGATGAGAAAACTGAGTTTCAGGGAAGGTAAGCATCAACTCCCTTGAGGAAAGAAACAGGATGCTGGAGGGAGGGTTGGGGAGAAAATGATCTTTGGGAGATGGAACAGGTCACTGCTGGGACCCAAATGGAATAATATAAAGGTGCCCTGGTGTAAACAGCACTGTAAAAGAGAACTGCAAGCTTTCTCCTGCTGAACACACAGCACTGCCCCTTCCCCAGCCCAAACGCAGCGACAGAATATGCAAATACCAGCCCTAGAAGGCCAGGAACCTGGTTTGTTTTCCATAAGAAAGAGGAGGCTGAGCTGCAGATGGTTGCAAGTGACAAAGCAAGTGTGGAAATCTTCTTTGTCTCTTTGCCCGCCTCCCCTCTGTTTCTTGCTATAAAAGACCCTTGCCCACCTGGAACCTGGGAGATGCTGATCTGAGGCTAATGTACTCTTCTATCTCCTGGGAGCTAGCTTTGAATTAAACCCAAGGGGGATCACAGGAAATTTTTAGAAAAGTCTCATTATGAGGGTGTGTAACCTCCACGTTAATTTTTTGGGAGTATTTCTATTGATGAATTATTAATTTTAATTGTATAGGTTTTATTATGTTAAACAATGTGTACTTAACAGGAAAATAAAATAGCAATAAATAAATATTAAATTTTTAATATGTGATGAATGTGTAGAATGAATATCAACATCAACTGTCTGCCTGCTGACAATATCTAAAAAATAACAGCAGAAGTAAATTCCTATGTGAACTACAATGAAAGTTCAAGTAAAACTCTGTCACAGCTCTGCTTTAATTATCACACCTCAGGTAGTCTTCATGCATGACAACAGCATGTCCCACCCACACTGTCTCACTCACTGACAGCACATGAGCTTAGCTTTCTTTTCCTGTGTGGCAGACCATACCTGTCACCTCTCTTGTCTTCCTC